AGAGCCGCCACTTGCTTTTGCTCACTTCTCTGGAGGGAGGGTGGGCTGTTAGAACTCAAGTTCGTTGTCGACTTTGTATGGAGGAAAGAAGATCAAAGATGAACTAATGAAGGTAAGGCCCTTTTAGGGGGTCTTACCATTCTTCTCGTATTCCCTTTTGTATTTTTTCCACTGTTTCCTGATGTCAAATAATTTGACAGTCCCAAAATGGGGGACCCTGAAATCACCCTATAACCCCTTCAGCCCGCACAGCAAACAGAGGGGGTGAAGCTTCGGTTCCGGAGAGGCTATGACATTCTGGTAATCAAACAATTTCAAAAGCGTTCGGACGTGTGAGGAATTCTTACCTGAAAGGGTAGGCGGCCATGTCACAAACAACTTGTGCGATTACTGGAGTTGTGCAAAAAAGGAGCTCAGACGCGTAGTAGAAAAGAGGGATCAATTCTTGGGACAGTGCTGGACATCCACGGAACATCACCTCAGATTATGAATCCATGGGGCTCAATCTCTTTCTTGAAAATGGATAGCCCTTGGAGGAACCACCAGGAATAACCCAGAGCGAAAGCTAGGTAAACCAATTTGTTGTAGCCCTTGTTCTTAGTAGTTTCTTGTTCCTAGTAGTAAGGCCAGGAGCTACTAGTAGTGTCCTTGCTCCTAGTAGCCAGTGGGCTGAGGGTACTGCCCAGGTCCTCAGCTCTCCAGATTCGATGACCTCCAACCTAGTAGGAATGGCCTCCAACCTATTGGCTTCCACATTGAGATCCTTTAAAAAGCCTTGAAGGAACCCAATAGCGTTGGCCTCCAACCAATTAAAGATAATCTTACATATTGTGCTGCACCTTTTCTTTGTTGTGTGTGTATGTGTGAGGCAGGGCGATACCTCCATTCAACAGTGACTGCTTGTCTTCAAGAGTGCTAGCTTATTGTTCTTTTCCGTCAATAATGAGGGTCTGACATATGACATATGGCAACTCTAGAGCTAAGGGCCTGGAGAAAAAGAGGAAGAAAAACAGCTAGTTCTTGTACCAAAGCTACCCCAGATAGGCTGTTTGTATTTGACAAGATGAAGTGTTTATTGTATAACCCTATATGAGTAAGGGACAAAATCATAGGCAGTGAAGAGCCAACACCTGCGCGAAACCTGCAGAACCGCTGCCAGTAAACGCTTTTGAGACTCCCAAACTCTGTAGTCCTTGGATCAATTCTGTCCGGTACTCAGCATATATCTCAGAAATGATAGGAAGGAGCTTAGCAATGGACAATGGATCCACTAGGCCGGAAAGCTACTCGCCAGGTGGGGTACCACCACCCCAGTCAGACCATGGGGTAGAGATTGAATCCTTCCAGCTTCAACATTTGCTGTAAGTTTGGGGGTTGGATCATTTTTGAGCTCTTCACATAGCGACAGCACGCAAGCCCCTGCGGCCCTTGTGAGTCAACAACCATGGTGAGCTGATGAGAGTAAGCATGGTTGGTTTGCATTATAAGGTACTCCGACAAACGGACACCTAGTGAGAGCCACACATACACAGCATTTGGTTGAGTGACTGATAGATAGTACTTGAAGATTCGAAAGCAGAGATGGAAACAGTTGTCTCAGCCAGGTGAGGAGGGCGCAGAGAAAGGTGTCAAGAAGCTGCGGGCGGAGGTGACCTGTGATGGGAAGGATATGGCCCAACCCTGAAAACCCCTAAGATGTGGAGTCAGCACGCGAGTCATGCGAGACTTTGCTTATAGAGTGAGCTATTTGTGGTTGTCGAACACACAACTTCTTCATTGCGGGAGAGACGACATTCAGGGTTACTGTATGATACTTGTATCCAGGTGGGCATTTATGGTGATTTTGCGGAAGCAAGAAGCTTTTCCAGTCCAAAAGAAAGAGAGAGAGAGAGAGACCCAGGCGGGCAGGCAGGCAGGCAGACAGACAGACAGACCGATGCCAGATACTGCAGATAACGAAGCTGCTTGGTCATTAAATTAATCCAGTGTCACAGCACACTTGTGCCATCCACATGTGGTCCTTCCAGTTTCAAGACAAAACACCATTCCTTGCCATTCACACTATATAGGCTACCTCACAATCCAGGCTTCATTCTTTCAATATCACCCTAGGCCTTCGCCATACTTCAGGTCAGTAAGGAGCTGGGCGCAGTCCCACTGCCAAAGCTCAACGAGGCAGCTTCGGGCTTCGCCTGGGGCCGTGTGCCCAAGGACTGAAGCCACGGCACTGATGCTCGAGGCCCTTTGGTCCTTTGAACATGTTGTGAAATGTCCAAATCTCAACAGACTTCGTCTCTACTCTCAGTGGCACACCTTCATATGTCCTGGTGAAGGTCTCACTCTCGTTTCGCTTTATGCTCAGCTACTCAGGTGATGAAATTCAGTGCAGTCATATTTGGCCTTGCGTTTCTGCTCACCCTGAACACTGCGTTTTCCCTACAGTATGTGCCACGAGTCAACATTCTGGACAACCATCACGTTCAGCATAAGCAGGGGTAATTCTTCGCAGGAGGAAACTGAAGCGCCTCGACGTATTACACTGCGAGCACACCTGGACGCGTGGTAGCAGGTTGCTAAGTGCCACGGGTCCGTGGATAATCATGGAACATTTTATGGTTACAGTATTGTATGTAGAATGTAGGTAGACACTCAGTAGACAATGGTTCAACGATGATGCCCCCAAGAAGTGCCCCAACAGGTTCTTCCAAATGTGTGCTTCACCTTGGCCAAGACATGTCAAAATTCGGTCCTATGATCACTGGAAGTTGTGCCTCCCCCAGCAAAACGACTCTATGGCATTGTGGTGTTTGGTTTTTGTCTTGGTCTTTTGGAGAAACCGTGAACACCAGGACTGCCAGAGATCAGCACGTGCTTGCTAAGGAAGCTGGCGCTGGCATCGATTTGCATGCCTCCTGGTGGGGCATGGTGGTTGCAACTTGAGTGCACTCAAAGCGTCCCACAAGTTGGAATCACGAAACATCAGAGGAGCAATCAAATTGGCCAACCATGTAGAGACTGTAGAGATGGTGCCAGCAAGGTGTGACAAGCAGCCTTGAGCACACAAAGCCCACAGGGGTTGCCTTTTGTACTTTTAGGGCGACGAAGAAGACAACAAGGATTTTATGATCCTATGGGCCTCTAGATGACTTTGTCAAAATCGTGAGATCTCAGGATGGAATCGACCCAGAACCAGGCCAACCAGGCCTACGCGTACGGGATACCCTCGTAGAGGTCAATGGCACTTCCCTCATGGAGCTCACCGACGAGGAGACCGAAGATAGGGGAGAAAGCCAAAGCACTCACAGACTACTAGTAAGGAACCTTGTTACAAGTAGCTTCAAATTTGGAGAGGATAATGTTTCCTTCGAGGTCAAAAGCTACGCTCTGGGGCAGTGGCAACGATTGACATTCCCGAATCAAATTTATGATTCTGCATCAACGAAGTTCGATGAAGTTTAAGCATGCAGAGTTTTTGGTATGTTTTGAGATGTTTGGTGCATATTTATGGTCATACAGTCCAGTTGACGAGTTGAATTTGTGATTTCACAGGATTGTGAGCAAAGATTCGCAGACCTTTTTTGGAGATGGCTGTGTGGTGAAAGTCGAACCCTTTGTGCAGGCCGAAAGCAAAACCATGTGAATGGTGAAGCTAGAGACTCAAACAATCACGAGACGTTGGGCTTTTGAACTTTGATTTATATAGGTGCTCCACTGTCTAAACATATAGTTGCTAGTGGTTGTGGGGGACTTTGCCATTGCATACAAGAAATGCTGTGACCAGCAGCACACCTTTAGCGCAGAACCCTTTGGGTTCGCGCCCTGTGGCACCCAACACCTCAGATATCATCCACAAAACTAGACGAATACCCCAGCATTCATGGTTTAAAATGACAGTTAGCTGCAGCTGCGCCATTTATGGCTGCGCAGCTGCGCTTTTGGAGGTCAGCGGCATCTTGGCCCCTCCAGCAGCAGTGGATAAGACGTCCCTGCAGGCTGAAGAAAGTGTGAGGGTGCTTACATATGTAAGACATCGTCTATGGGTTCATGTGTAAACATGGAGGCCTAAAATATATAAGCACCTGAAATTCCTGAGCCACTGGCTTGAAGTATTTCCTCGGAGGAGGTGGTCAACACTCGATGTTGCAAGCTCTTGAAGCAAGATGGTTCCTGCGTAGGAGATTCAAGCTATCAATCCCTGAAGTTGGGGACCTTTTGCTAGGGACCTCCTGGCTTCCTTGTGAAAGCTAGCTTAGTATCCACAGTCTTCAGAACAGAGCTCACATGATTGAACTTCCAGAACGACCTGGAGCGCTTTGCTGCTGACTATGGCATTGAGCTGCGAATGGAGGTCAGAGTGCCGATCTCCTTTTCGCTTGTTGGGCAGCTGCAATCATTGGTGGAAGAACCGGAACAACTTCACATTACAAGCTTTTGTCAAGGATAAACTGCTGTACCTGAACGCTTTAAATTCAAAACTATATATATATATATTATATTAGAAAACAAGCTGCCCTGCCCAATGCAACACCCCTTCGATGACCAGGAAGCGTTGAAAGAAATGCCGCAACGTGGACGCACCACCCAAACTGCAAGTCAGCCGCAGCATTGAGCACCAAATGAGAACCAAACCTGTTTAGGGATCATATGCGCACATGAACAGAAGGATCCGAACCTCAATCACTCGGATGCACAAAGTGCCCCAATGCAGGCAGGCACGGTGGAAGCGTAGAGGCAAATTTGAAGGGTGCAAGCAGAACTGTCGACAAGTCCAGCACAGCAGGATGCGACAAGACAAATAACAATCATGATTAGTAATGAATGGTGATAATGGTGGACCTCGCGTCAAAAATTGCGGCGAGAAGTAGAAAGGGATCAACATGTATAGTATAGCAATGATAGCAATGCATGTTCAGCCTTGCCTGAATCACTGCCGTGAAACTGCCGTGCCGGTTTGCTATCGAGATTGTAGCGACCAGTGGAGTTCCAATCGTTCTCAGGACGCAGGTGGCAACAACGTCCGCGTTCACATGGAAGGCGTGGTTTGGAATCAGCTAATCTTGCAAGGGGATCTGTCAACATCCTCAGAAAAAGCAAATTACCTCTGAAGATCTCTGGAACACATGATGTCACACGATGATGGAAGCTGAAGCAGAAGTGACTTGACCTGGTCAGGCTCCCAATCGGCGGTGAAAGGCAGCAAGCCGGAGCTGCAGAATCTCATGCAGTTTTACGCGCAAGCGAGCTAGGCAGACTGGTCTCGAATCCTGGCCTGGTAGGATTAGACTGAAGCCCTTGATAAAGTTGGAGACAGTCTTACTACCTTAGTAGCACAGAGTCCCAACATTATTAGTCGCCCCTTTTGCATATGATTCGCTTGGAAAGCTCGGTGCAGTTACACAGTCGGAGTTAGTTATACCGGACCTTGTGGCTGGACAAGTCTTGCAAGCTGCGAATGTTTGCCGCCGGCATCCAGCGAAGGATGCTTGGTTTTAATGTTTGCTGTATGCCACTGGTGTGGACGTGGCTGCGTTTGCCGGCCCTTGCACAGGAAGTCACACGAGCCAAAGCCACAATCCCTGGCTGATAGGAAGCAATCCTGCGCAGTTTCAACCCTAATTTCTGCGACCGACCTAATTTCTTGCACACAAGACTCGTTTGAACCTACAATACCAAAAGGTAAGACCGCATGAGTTGCCCCATAGTAGTGTAAGAATGCTCCTAGTAGCGATGCCGGGAGCTACTACTAGCGATGCCCTTGCTCCCAGTAGCTTCTTGTCACTAGCACAAAGGTGAGGAGCTACTAGTAGCGTACAAGGCCAACACCTTGTTGGTACAAGAAGGACACTACCATGCTTCCAAGTTCTATGCCGAAAGGATAATTGGTAAGGTGATTGTCAAATTGGAAGGGTGGTGTATGCGCTAGACAAGAATGGGACGCCAGGAAAATAGTGGTCTTTGTTTCAGCTATTATATATTTGGCAGAAGTGTGTTTATGTGCATGTCTCTATTACTGTATAGGGTTTATGCAAGCAGTATTGAGCAACCATACGCACACGGCTAGGGAGGTGCGTCCGGACCAGCTTGGCCTGTCCAAAGGAAAGAAAGAGCAGAGCTGTTCCTTCAGGTGCATTACTTGTCAGGAGCCGGAATTTAATCTTCCAACTCCAGCAAATGGCCGCAGCATGGTGCGTTGTTGAATTCGTTGAAGAGTTAGTTGCGCAGAGAAAAGGAAAACGATCGGGGTTTCCCAACAAGGATCTCTTGACACTCACAAAAACACATCACAAAACCCAGTCAGGTTTCTTGACAAAATGTCGTTATATAACAAGAAATCAAGAAACGGAGGTACAGTTTGCAGGGGCAGCTACAGGAGGCACAAGGGAACTCTGTAATTCCCACAACATGTCCCATTTGTTTCCAACAGCGAGGGTTCTTTCTCACCTCCGCAGAGCTTTCCTTCGATTGAAGAAGCCTTTTTCTTGCCTTCCCGAAGATCGAGCCGTAACACCTAATGTTGGAGACAAACAACGATGGGATACTATTTGCATAAATCATTTAAACCATCAAAGCGTAAGTCCTTTGCTGCGAAGATCGGCTCTTGACATAAAGACTCCAAGGAGGCCTCCACAAAAAAAAATAGAGGCCGACCAAGCTCGACAGAAAAGGAGTTCCTGCAAGTGGTTTCGGGATTGAACGCATATTTGCTATAATGTGCTGCTGGCGTGTAGGAATATAGAAGCTTGAATGTCGTGTACAATGCCACAGCCAGGTGTGCTTGGTGAGCATAGCCGTTCTGGCTTGGAGTATGCATGACCAACAAATGGACCTTATATAACCCATTGCTTTGGATATGACGGACTACCTTCGAATAACTGCTACCCAAAACAGTAGACGGTAGACGGTAGCAGCCACGTCAACGCCTTTGGACGTGCAGGCGACAACTTTAATGATATAACTATTTACTTTGTAGGTAAGTTCAGTGTGAAATAGTGTGAATATGTTCTTGTATAGTTGCAAAATGATGAAAGACAGTCCTTTGCAAGCTCCATGGTACACTAGCTCTTGTTTTATGGATTTCCGAAAATTCCTGTGTCTTGGACCCGTGAAGTACAAGTGCTCACGTTCATGCAAATCTTATGGAGTGACTGTCAGTTTCAATGTGTTTCTTCGCTCAAAATGCTGTCGCAGGTTCTACGGCCAGTCCGGAGGCTTCCCCAAGAGGAGCCAATGGAAGCTGTGCTGCCCAGCTTCGACCTCGAGGGAATTGCACAATACATTGCAGAGAAGAGATGCACGCG